AGTGGGATGGTGGAGTTTTAGGAACCCTTGACAACCCAGATTGAACACGTGAGCCATGCATGGCGCATGGCACAACCTTCCTTGACGCAGAGCAGACACCATGTTCTTTTTTCCGTTGTCGGTCAACATGGTTCCGATTTTCAGTTTGCGCGGAGACAGCCATCTGTCGATTTCTCTGTTCATTACACTGAGAAGTTCCTCCCCTGTGTGACTACGTTCGCCAAGGCATACCAGTGCAGCACAGCGTGACACCGTTGCGCCCTGCACATGTGATATGCCGGTCGGGTAATGGGACTTGGCACGGGGGTGGCGGCTGAGGACACGGCGGAAGAAGAGGTGGTAGAGGCGGACATCTTTGCTGGACCAAGGACGTGCAAACGTGAGGCAAAAGTGGCGTGACCTGTCCAAGTTGCTGGTGCGGCTGTGACTGCACCACGTTCACCCAGTGGGCCGTAAATGACATGTACTGTCCCTGACCGTAGTTACAGCTCCACACGTCGGCGCTGCCGTGCACTTTGGCAGAGACCGACATGCTCAAAGACTGGCCCACCATCTCTTCTACATGTGAATGCAGGGCTGGCACTGCCTTTTTGGCGAAGAAATGACGGCTTGGCACTCTCCACCGCGGCGCGGCACAAGCCATCATTTCTCGGAAAGGTGCTGAGTCCACCACTTGGAAAGGAGAGGGACTGCAGCACCAGCAACTTGGACAGGAGGACGTTCAGCTTTTGCACCGTCGGGTGCGTGCTCGCAAACTGTTGTCTCTTGGAAACGGATTCCAAGAAAGACTGCTGACGGAATCCGTGAAGAGGAGTAGCAGGAGAAGGAGCATCTGAACGAGCGGAAGATGCCAACGAGCGACAACTCCCCTCAGCAGAGGTGTTGGAGCCTTGACTGGCTGATAGAGGGCGATTGACGTCGGGTGACGGAGCAAGTAACGGAGCGGGTGATGGAGCGGGGGCTGGGGCAGGCAGAACCGCCGTATCTTTATCACGGTTTTCCCAGGCCACCAAATGGCGACGCTGCATATGCTGAACGCAACGCTGTAGTCCCAACATGGGCCCCCCTGGCCACGCTTGACTTTCTGGCCACATAGTCGACATACGGCTACGTTTACTTCCTCGGGCGGCTTGACGAAAAATTGCCACACCGCCGAGTAGGAAACTTTGCCCCCGATACTCCTCACTGGCTGACTGCTACTTCCTCCGTGCACACCGGCACCACTACTGGCCGTGGTGGTAGGCTGCAGTGGAGCTGGTGCTCTACTCCGTGGCCGTTTGCCTCCACTGACACTGCTGCGACCCTGCTGCCTCCTGGGCAACCCACCGACTGTTTTGCTCGCTGCCAAGCTGCACCACCCTCTTCTCCTGATGATGCGGAAGCAATAGCCTGATGACGACGAGGCTGCCAAGTGCGATCAGCCTCATCATCATCAATTAGGGTCTCCGCCTCACTACTACCCCCCTCGGCTGCGTGTGGGTCAGGAGACAGACCTGTCTCTAGACCGGCTACCGAGCCACTCTCCTCGCCAGTACTTCTTCGCCTGGCTGCTGAAGAGGCGGATGTCTCCCCCCGTTCCTGACCGCCCTCTGTTAGCTCTTCCTCACTGTACAGTGGGGCTGAGCCCACAGCATGCGATACTTCGCTTGGTGAGGGAACACCAAAGGACAGGGGCAGGTAGAGGACACGTGATTTCAGTGGGCTTGCTCCCGGGCCATGCCAACTAACGGTTGTGTCTGACGTACCCACCGACCGTTGGCTGTAGGTGTCAGAGGTGACCTGGGAAGAGGAAGACGACCGAGCCAACCAATCGATGACGGCAGGGTTGTCGGTGGAGACACGACCGCTGGATGACACCGGGAGCACTGGCCTCTGGCTGCGACTAGTGCTGCCTCGACCCCTTCCTCTGCTGCCACGTCTGCTCGCTCCTAAAACATTGCCTCCTCTGTCCACTCCTCTGCATGTTGTCTGACATACTCTTTAATTAAACGATTCTGTGTCCCTGAGTAACAATTCTGTGTCTGTCCCTGAGTAACAATTCTGTGTCCCTGAGTAACAATTCTGTGTCCCTCAGTAACAATTCTGTGTCCCTGAGTAACATTCTGTGTCCCTCAGTAACAATTCTGTGTCCCTCAGTAACAATTCTGTGTCTGTCCCTGAGTAACAATTCTGTGTCTGTGTCCCTGAGTAACAATTCTGTGTCCCTCAGTAACAATTCTGTGTCCCTCAGTAACAATTCTGTGTGTCCCTGAGTAACAATTCTGTGTCCCTGAGTAACAATTCTGTGTCTGTCCCTCAGTAACAATTCTGTGTCCCTCAGTAACAATTCTGTGTCCCTGAGTAACAATTCTGTGTCCCTGAGTAACAATTCTGTGTCCCTGAGTAACAATTCTGTGTCCCTGAGTAACAATTCTGTGTCAGTGCCCTGAGTAACAATTCTGTGTCCCTCAGTAACAATTCTGTGTCCCTCAGTAACAATTCTGTGTCCCTCAGTAACAATTCTGTGTCTGTCCCTAAGTAACAATTCTGTGTCTGTCCCTGAGTAACAATTCTGTGTCTGTCCCTGAGTAACAATTCTGTGTCCCTCAGTAACAATTCTGTGTCCCTCAGTAACAATTCTGTGTCCCTGAGTAACAATTCTGTGTCCCTGAGTAACAATTCTGTGTCCCTCAGTAACAATTCTGTGTCCCTCAGTAACAATCTTGTCTGTCCCTGATAACAATTCTGTGTCCCTCAGTAACAATTCTGTGTCCCTAAGTAACAATTCTGTGTCCCTCAGTAACAATTCTGTGTCTGTCCCTCAGTAACAATTCTGTGTCTGTCGTTGAGTAAGTTAATTCTGTGTCCCTCAGTAACAATTCTGTGTCCCTCAGTAACAATTCTGTGTCTGTCCCAGAGTAACAATTCTGTGTCTGTCCCTGAGTAACAATTCTGTGTCCTGTCAGTAACAATTCTGTGTCCCTCAGTAACAATTCTGTGTCCCTGAGTAACAATTCTGTGTCCCCTCAGTAACAATTCTGTGTCCCTCAGTAACAATTCTGTGTCCCTGAGTAACAATTCTGTGTCCCTAAGTAACGTTTCTGTGGCCCTAAGTAACGGTTCTGTGGCCCTAAGTAACAATTCTGTGTCCCTCAGTAACAATTCTGTGTCTGTCCCTCAGTAACAATTCTGTGTCTGGCCTAAGTAACGTTTCTGTGTGGCCCTAAGTAACAAGTTTCTGTGGCCCTAAGTAAACGATTCTGTGGCCCTAAGTAACGTTTCTGTAGCCCTAAGTAACGTTTCTGTGGCCCTAAGTAAAGTTTCTGTGGCCCTAAGTAACGATTCTGTGGCCCTAAGTAACGTTTCTGTGGCCCTAAGTAACGTTTCTGTGGCCCTAAGTAACGTTTCTGTGGCCCTTAGTAACAATTCTGTGTCTGTCCTAAGTAACGGTTCTGTGTCCCCTCAGTAACAATTCCTGTGTCCCTCAGTAACAATTCTGTGTCCCTCAGTAACAATTCTGTGTCTGTCCCTCAGTAACAATTCTGTGTCCCTAAGTAACGTTTCTGTGTCCCTAAGTAACAATTCTGTGTCCCTCAGTAACAAATCTGTGTCCCTCAGTAACAATTCTGTGCCTGTCCCTAAGTAACAATTCTGTGGCCCTGAGTAACGTTTCTGTGGCCCTAAGTAACGTTTCTGTGGCCCTCAGTAACAATTCTGTGTCTGGTCCCTAAGTAACAATTCTGTGTCTGTCCCTGAGTAACAATTCTGTGGCCCTAAGTAACGTTTCTGTGGCCCTAAGTAACAGTTCTGTGGGCCCTCAGTAACAATTCTGTGTTCCTCAGTAACAATTCTGTGTCTGTCCCTAAGTAACAATTCTGTGTCCCCTAAGTAACGTTTCTGTGGCCCTAAGTAACAGTTCTGTGGCCCTCAGTAACAATTCTGTGTCCCTCAGTAACAATTCTGTGTCTGTCCCTAAGTAACAATTCTGTGGCCCTAAGTAACGTTTCTGTGGCCCTAAGTAACAGTTTTTCTGTGGCCCTCAGTAACGTTTCTGTGTCCCTCAGTAACAATTCTGTGTCTGTCCCCTAAGTAACAATTCTGTGTCTGTCCCTGAGTAACAATTCTGTGTCCCTAAGTAACGTTTCTGTGGCCCTAAGTAACAGTTCTGTGGCCCTCAGTAACAATTCTGTGTCCCTCAGTAACAATTCTGTGTCTGTCCCTAAGTAACAATTCTGTGTCCCTAAGTAACGTTTCTGTGGCCCTAAGTAACAGTTCTGTGGCCCTCAGTAACAATTCTGTGTCCCTCAGTAACAATTCTGTGTCTGTCCCTAAGTAACAATTCTGTGGCCCTAAGTAACGTTTCTTCAATAGGGCATGTTTTATGGGGCCTTTAATTTACCCTGTATACTCGGGGAATTTTTTGGAAACCCTCTTTGAGGATAATCTACATGTATATATATATATACGCTATCCTATTCAGGCATTCTTTGCTGTGACATAGCCACATCCTTATAAAACCGCAATAACCTTCTCAAATTGAGCAATTTTTGGAAACCCTGTATTGGGTATATTAAACTTAGGTATCTACGGCCTGCGCTGCTTTGCTACATACATTACTAGTTATATGTGTATGGGATTCAACGCACTGTGACTACCTGGATCCTCACCCCTCCATATGCATCTTTGAAAAAGCATCAAGGACCTGATCCTAATTTCAAGTTGACAGGTGGTCCTCTTGATCTTTATTGATGGTAATATATCGCACATTTTTATGTGTGTTTTGTTTTCGGGGTCACTGTGCCTTATGATCTTATATTTATCATTTTTCGTCTATATATATCCTCAGAATCATTTGGTAATGTGGATTAGACTTGTTTATACTTGGGGTGGCTATCAGGAAGTCCTAACATTTGAGATAAGCGGGCATGATAGTTCATTATTGAGAGGTTATTGTAGTATCATTGACCTAATGTGGAGGGGAGGGCCTGGTGATTTTTGGATGTGAATTGGTTTTCATATTCTCTATAATACATTATGTATTTTTGTGTTCCAGCTTTACATTCTAGGAGGTCCCTGCCAAAAAAATTATAAAAAGTAAAATTAGAAAAAAAATTTTATAAATCTAAAAAAATTATAAATTAAATATATGGGGTAACACAGCTGTTGTAAACACATGGTTTTACTGAATTTAAGTGGGAAACCAGAAATCAGGAAAACTATCGCAATCATTACACAACTCTGCCTTATATGGTGCTGCTATTTTTTCTAAGATGGACCTAAATTGAAAAACGGGTAAGGGGGTTTTTTAACCTGATTTTTTTTTTTTTTCATATGTACACGTTTTTATGTTTAATCCCTATGAAAACTTGGATCAAATTAAAAATATTGTTTTTAAAAAAAATTTTGAATTATATTAATCCACGTGGATCATCTAGTAACTGTTTTTTTAGGTGGGGTGTTTTTGTCCAAATTTCCCCTATTGTTTAGGAACCCTTTCTGTGGGCCCCCAAGTTAAAAGTTTCTGTGGGCCCCAAGTAACAATTTTTTGTGTCTGTCCCTAAGTAACAATTCTGTGTCTGTCCCCGAGTAAAAAATTTTGTGTCCCCAAGTAACCGGGGTTTTTGTGGCCCTAAGTAAAAAAGTTCTGGGGGCCTCAGTAACAATTCTGTGTCCCCCAGTAAAAAATTCTGTGTCTGTTCCCCAAGTAAAAAATTCTGTGGCCCTAAAAAAACGTTTCTTTTGGCCCCCAAGTAACATTTGGGCCCTCAGTAAACAATTTTGTGTTTCCCCCAGTAACAATTCTTGTCTGTCCCCAAGTTAAAAAATTCTGTGGCCCTAAGTAACGTTTCTTGGCCCCAAGTAAAAAGTTCGTGGCCCCCAGGGAAAAAATTTTGTGTCCCCCAGTAAAATTCTGGGTTGTCCCTAAGTTTAAAAATTCTGTGGCCCCAAATAACGTTTCTGTGGCCCTAAGTAACGGGTTTTGTTGGCCCCCAAATAACGTTTCTGTGGCCCCAAAAGGGAACGATTCTGTGGGCCCCAAGTTTAAAATTTCTGTGGCCCTCAGTAAAAAAATTTTGTGGCCCCCTAACCAATTTTTGTGTTTTCCCCAGTAACAATTCGTCGTCCCCGGTAAAAAATTCTGTTCCCAAGTAACGTTTCTGTGGCCCCCAAGTAACGGTTCTGTGGCCCCAGTTTTAAAAAAATCTGTGTCCCCCAGTAAAATTCTGTGTCTGTCCCCATGTAACAATTTGAGGGCCCCTAGTAACGTTTCTGTGGCCCCAAGTAAAGGTTTTGTGGCCCTAAAATAACGTTTCTGGGGCCTAAAATAAAAGGTTTTTGTGGCCCCAAGTAAAGGGTTCTGTGGCCCTAAGTAACCCTTTCTGTGTCCCTAAGTAAAGTTTCTGTGGCCCCAGTAAGTTTCTATTTTAAGTAACCCTTTTTTGTGGGGCC